GGTTTTGCGTGCCCGTGCGCGCGAACGCGTTACCCGTGACAGAACTGGAAAAAACGTTTATTTGTGTTCGCCGATGCTGTCACCGCGGTACGATCGTTCCACGACGCGACACGCTCCTCGTACGGGGCTCGGCGCGAGGAAAAAAAAATTTTTCGAATTTCGCGATTTCGAACGGTGGCGGGCGGAGGGAGGAGGGGGGAAAAAAACCGCGCGCGCGTAATACAATGACGAGCTCGTCGCGTTGGATGTCCGGAAACTTGACGTTTTGGTTTTCGACATTGACCGCTGTGCCACCGGGCCACAGATGCAACAATAATACGCTGTACACCGGTGATTCTCAATCCTTTCAGAACCACGACCCGAATTTTCGCCCGAAAGTCTATCGCGGCACCAGACGGTTTGGCGTTTCGAAACACGAGTACACGCGCGCGCACGGGATTTCTAATCTGATCGTCCGTCGTGTCTATGACGAGGACGCATCGCACACGGTTCGCACCGGTTGTTACGAGCGGCGACCGTTCAAATTATTTTCATAAAAAGTCGGACGGGGTCGGGGTGTTTTCCTAATTTTTTTTACCCTAGATAATTCGTTACCGTAAAATTCGATTCGTCGGCATTTTTAACACGCGTACGCGGACGGGCCGGCCGGGTTACGGCTGTTTATTCGGCGGGTGGATGGGGCGGGGAGGGTGAGGTATTTGTGCCACGACGAACTGGCGCCGAAACAACAGGCACCTCGGCTATACAATACGTGATGTAAAACTCGTAAAAGTTATCATAATTTCATAATTAATACGGGCGATGGTAACGTTACGGGTACGTTTTCACACGTACATTTTATTCGTGTAACGCGCGTTGCTACGGTAAAAAAAAAAAATAAAAAATAAATACCGAAACGACGAAGGTACAATTATAACATTAAACGCGCGTAGAAGTACGTAGTAAAATGCGATTTATCGCGTGGTAATAAATTACACATGCCGTGTGAAAATTACACTTTATATTTCTCCCGTTTCTCGCCGTCGCGGTCCGGAGAAAACGCGCGCCGCTCCTATCGCTACGCGCGCCTGCGGGCGCCGAGGCCGCGGTCGCGGCCGGGCCGGAAATTTCGGGCGGGGACGGGGAAAACTATTTGGACGCACGGGCACGGGTGCGTGCGCCGCGCTCGCCGCGCCACGGTCGTTGTGAATAACGACGTTGTGTTTATTGTCGGGCACACGCGTCCGACGTGACCGTAACACGCGCGGACGGTCTGCCGTTTTTCCCGGGGGTCCGGCCCCGGGGCGGAAAAAAGAGCCGCGCGGATTCGCAACGATCAGGCGCCTACGCGTCGCGAACGCCGCCGCGGGGCGTGCAATGACGTACAACGCGCGATCTCGTAGTAGCCCATCACCGTCGCGGCGCGCGAATCCGCGAACAATCCGTTCGGGGGCCGGACGCGCTCGCGAATCCACACGCCCGGACGTAGTGAACCAACAGACGTGAAACGGGTCCGTATCGGTCGTAACGACGCGCCGGCCGACATTACGATAACGCGCGCGGATGCCCGGCGATTGCTGTCCGTTTTAACGTGCGCGCATTCCGATACGGCGTCGCGGATGACGGATAATAACGGGACATCGGCCGCGTAATCGTTACGGCGCGCCTACGCAACAGTCGGCGGTACGCGCGCTTTTCGAACGGCAGTCCGAACGTTCGCGAACGCCGGCGCGCGCCGTACGGCGCTACTCTTTGTGAGCGTTTGAACGAAATCCGGCGACAGAGGGAACAAACGCCGCTTAAATATACTAGCCCCTGAGCCCCTCGGGCGCCGGGCGCCAGTAAGAGGAAGAAGAAGAAGAAAAAAAAAAAACATTAATTATAAAACGCGTATATACATGTATACGGCCGTATTTATAACGGCGCGCTGTACGTACTTGTTAATTTGCTGTCGAGACTTTTGTTATTGTTATTTTTTTTTTCTCCTCGTCATCCTCGCTCACGAACCGCGTAACGTAATTTAACACCCCGGTATAGCTGACCCGGCGGCGTTTCGCCATTGCCGGGCTAGACAACAGCGCGCGCAGTAGTGACGGAGTAACGGACAAACGCGCCAACAACCGGACGTTCGTGTAACGAAAACACCCGAAATGTAAAGGACCCTCCTTCCCCCCTCCCCCTCCCCATCCACTCTGTTTCGCTCGCACTCCGGGGCAGTGCACGGGTTTTCAAAAATCCCCTCTCGGCGGAGATACGCGGAGTGCACGCGCACGCACACGTGCATCTGTGCGCCGAAATTTCGACGGCGGTCTCCGCGCGGGCCGGGCGACGGCGAATCCGAATCAAAGACGGGGCTCGGCACGTCGCTCGGGCGTTTACATGATACGCGCGCGCGGCGACGTGCCCGCTGGAAACCGCCGAACCCTGCGGAAACACGGCGTAACGCACGCGACGCGTGTGCGCGCTCGTCTCGAACCCGTGCGCGCGAGCGTGCGGCGCATCGCGTACAACACGGTCGACGCCATCGACACCGCGGCGGCGTACGCAACAACAGAAACAAGCGAAACAACACGACGGTGTTCTAAAACGAATGAACGTAATGAATTGTAAATCAACGAAAACGCGTCACGGGTGACCATTATTGTTGTGGCGCGCGGTTTAACGCACCGACAAAAACAACGAGCGGTCGACACACGCATAATACGCGAACGTCCGCGAAACACCTACAGAGCGTAACGATAAACCGGAAATGGGTGGCGCGGGAAAGGTCGAGAGCGGGGTCGCGGCTATGGCGGAGCAAAAACAAAAAAAAAAAAAAAGAGACGAAAAAAGGATATTGCGTCGCCGCCGCGCCGGTGTGACAAGAAATTTTCGGGTCGTCGAGTAAAAACGTCTGAATTCGGGTTTTAATATATACGCGCGGCACCCGGTTTGTGTGTATCCGCGAACGGTAATGCGCGCGAAAACGGTTTTGTTTTTTTCTTTTCCGTCAGCTTATCAAGCAGCGCATACACACACACACATACACACCGATAACCGCGATACCGGATTATAACCATAAGCGCGCGCGGCTTTCCCGGAGTCCCGAAATTTTAACGTTGTACGATGCAATTATCGTAACGTTCGTGCGTACCACGCGAACTCGGCGAATTCAATTTCAAACTTGTTTCGGTTTTTGTTTTCGGTACGGGAAAAAAAATCAATTTAAAAAAAAAAAAAAAAAAACACCGTTTCGTTGCGCGCGATATATCGTCGAGATTTCCCTGCGAAACTCTTGTGGCCAAGAGCCGGCTAACACCGATGGTACTGCGTAATTTATCATTGCGTTTTACCGCGCGTTTCAGCGGCGATTTTTTTTTTCTTTTCGTTTTTAAACCGTCGCGGGCTTTGTACGAGCCGCTAGACTTTCGGGATTTCTAAACCCGTCGCACCGCAGCGTGTTGTACACGCGAGTGTGTATTGTTCTGTAGCGTAGTAAACTCGCGTTTATTCGTCGTGATTTATTAGTATAGTGTCGTACGCGGCCATTATCATAATATTACACGAGCGTATAATTTGCGGATTAGAGAGCGAGAGAGAGAATTCAGAACATATCTGGCCGCGGCAGTGGCCATCTCGCTGCGTGCGGTACAGCGTGTTCATTTCGGCAGTGCCCGTACGCGATATTATAATTTCGTAAAAAAAAAAAAAAAAAAACGACAAAACATACGCGCGCACGGGTTTTTTTTTCACTCCGAACGCCAAAAACCGTCCGCTGGTCGTCGAAATCCTTACGCGCGTAATTATTGTTTCGGCGTCGTAATGCAAATCGTAATTGTCGCGGCGATGATAGTTTGCGTCCGCCGCGTCGCCGTCGTCGCCGTCGTCACCGTCGCGTTGCCGTTTACGCCGGGCAGCGCGTCGGACGGGGATTTTTTTTCTTTTTATTTTTTCAACAATCGAGCGTACCGCGGGAAAAAGTCACGACGGCCGGCCGATGTTTTTTTTACGGGACGACGGTGCGGCGGCGCCCGGGGACGGCGATTACCGATATCCGAACGGTATCGCCGCCCGCAATAAACAATAACATCGATATCGCCGCCGCAACGGATTGCGAACCGCAACGTTCGTAAACCGCGTAGGCCGCGACGGTATAACCGCGCGGGCCGACCGGAAAAAACCGCGCCGTCGCCGAAAAACACGCCTAAACGACGAGTACATTAATATTATTATTATTATTGCGATCGGCGACCGGTGGTGTTGGGGGGTGTTCGGGGTGTGTGGGGGGGGTGTTATGTTGGATGCGAACGGCGGGTGGGGCGGTTGGGGGGGGGGAAACGCGTATAAATCGCGGGGCGCGAGAGGGTCTTTGGAAATCAATTTGGCGGCGGATTGTTTTTGGCGAAGACGCGTCGCCGGCTACGACGACGGTGTGCCGGGGATCCGGGAGACGGCGGGCGACGGCGGCCGCGGGTTTATGGGCGGGGTGGAGGCGGGGGCGAGGGCGTCCGCGGCGGGGGAAGGCGGGGGCCGTAGGTGTTCGCACGATAATGTCGCGATAATGTATCCATTTACGTCGTCGGTGCGAGCGGTGGCGGCGGCGGCGGCGACGACGACGTCGACAGCGGCTGCGGCGGCGGTGGCGGCGGCGCGGACGACGGACGGACGACAATCAATAGTGGCGCTCCCTGACGGCGGCGGCCCCGCTAACGCGCACACGCAGACGCGCGCGCGCACACACACACACACACACACACTCACACACACACACACACGCAAACACACGCACACACGCGGGCGCGCGCGCGCTCGGCCGACGCAGAGTACATGCCGTTGCCTTGGCTACTGTGTTTACCGCCGCGCCGGGGCGCCCGACCCGTCAGCTGACCCGGGCCCGTCCCCGGCGGGGCGGAGCGTCGCCGCGCGCTCGGGCCCAACCGCCGCGAACGCCGCGTACACGCCCCCGACGACGGCCGCGCGGCGGGGGAAACGCTGGCGCGTAACGCCGCGGCGGGCGGTGGGGACGCGCTCTCTCGGAACACCACCTCGCGGCAGCCGCTCTCTGCGGAACGCCGCCGCCGATCAGTCCGTATACGTACTGCGCGCCGGTCGCTATGTGAACGGTTCACGCGCGTGTGTGTGACTTGTGTGATTTTTTTTTCCCCCCGGATATTGTCATCGTCGCTGTTACATGTTATTTTGTTAATGTATTTAATACGCCAGTACGACAACGCTAAATTAACAATAATATTATAAAATACCATCGTCCGTCTATACGCCGTCGGCGCCGCGCATGGTATTTTATAAAAAATAAATTTTTTACCGATTCGCGGTCCGAGAGAATATCGCGGCCGCGCCGTACGAAACGGAGGCCTTTTTTTTTTTTTCCGCGTACCGAGAAATCGGAAAAAAATAAATAAATAAATAAATCCCGCGATAATTCCGTCGCACCGCGGTGTAATATTTTTTCGACCGACCGCCGCGGTACAGTCGCCGTCGCCGCAGTTGGACGCACCGACCGCGGTCGTCGCCGTCGCCGTCGCCGCGTCTCGCCGCACGAGACAACGGACAATATACCGACCGTGTGCGCCGACATCTGAGTGTGCGGTGTTTTTTTTCTCTTTAGACCGGTGTCCGAAAATCGTTCGCAATTACGGACTTAACGATTTACCCGCGCAGTGTTCGGGGCGCGTCGGTTGAATGTGATTGGAAAGCGCGGGTGATGGCCACCACGTACCTGCCGGTCAGCGGTGGCGGCCCGGGCCCCGGCGACCTGGACGGTATGGGCGGCATGTCGGTCAACCAGCCGGGCGGCGGCCCGTACCAGCAGCCGTCGCCGTCGCCCCGCGGCCAGGACCACCCGGCCGGCGAACTAAAATATATGCCGCCCGGGCAACACCATCATCACCATCACCACCACCATCAAGTTCCTACGTCACCGTCGCCGGTCTCGTTGTCGGCGGCCACCAGCTGGGTGGACCCGTGGGCCACTTCCATGGGCATGCACCATCACCAGCACCATCCGCACCATCCGCACCAGGGATTGGACATCAAACCGCCGCCGGACATGCGAGCGGTAACCGGCGGCGGCGGCGGCGGTGGCGGTGGCGGCGGCGGCGGCGGCGGCGGAGGCGGAAACGCGCAATCCTGGCACACGGGCCCACCGCCGCCGGTCGTGTCCGCGGGCCACTACAACAGCAGCGGCGCCGGATCGCCGCAACTCGGCCACCACGGCGCGTACCACGTGATGAACGGCATGCTGGGCCATACCCATCCGGCCGTGCAAATGCACCACAGCCCGTCGTACCCGCAACAGCACGATCCGCAGTCGCCGGGCGGCGAAGAGGACGCGCCCACGTCCGACGACCTGGAGGCGTTCGCCAAACAGTTCAAACAGCGGCGGATCAAGTTGGGCTTCACGCAGGCCGACGTGGGTCTGGCGCTCGGCACCCTGTACGGCAACGTGTTCTCGCAGACGACCATTTGCCGGTTCGAGGCGCTGCAGCTGTCGTTCAAGAACATGTGCAAGCTCAAGCCGCTGCTGCAAAAGTGGCTGGAAGAGGCGGACTCGACCACGGGGTCGCCGACCAGCATCGACAAGATCGCGGCCCAAGGCAGGAAGCGCAAAAAACGCACTAGCATCGAGGTGTCGGTGAAGGGGGCGCTCGAACAGCATTTCCACAAGCAGCCGAAGCCGTCCGCGCAGGAGATCACGTCGCTGGCCGACTCGCTGCAGTTGGAAAAAGAGGTAGTGCGCGTGTGGTTTTGCAACCGGCGGCAAAAGGAGAAACGCATGACGCCGCCGAACACGCTCGGCGGACCGCAGGACGGCATGATGGACGGGTCCGTGGGCGGCGGCGGCGGAGGCCCGATGGGCCACGGCGGCCTGCACCAGGCCTACCATCACCAGGACCACGTGATGCACGGCTCGCCGATGGGACCGCACTCGCACTCGCACAGTCCGCCGATGCTCTCGCCGATCGGCAACCATCAGTCGCTTGCGGCTCATTAACGTTTCGCCCAGTGGGACGTTGAGTACTCACGGCACCTGGCCAAGATGCAGCAACAGCAGCAGCACCAGGAATGCACGTAGTAGTAGTACTTGTTTACTGTTTCGAACAACGTCTCGCTCTGGGCGACATTTTAAAAAATATATTACGCACACGAACGTCGTTATTGTTGTTACGATACATACGCGTAACGATAAACCGCCGCAAGATGCGCACATATATAACCAATTCGACTATGTAAATACATATATATATATATATATATATATATACAATTATATATATATATATATATATATACATAATATAAATAATAAATATAAATACAAAATAAAATATGATTACGAATACGCGAACACGGATCGTGCGTATTATGAATTGTAATATACAAAACAATATATACTATATATATATATATATTTATATATTTACATATATATATATATATATATACACACTTTTATAGTTTAAATATTATTATTATAGTAATAATGATATTAATACGACAATATATATATATATATATATATATATATGCGTACGTACGTATGTATGTATGTATTATATTTCCGCAAATTTTTAATCGTTATTTAAATATATAATGTTGTGTATATTTGTTATTATTATGCGGTGTTACGAGCGCGTTACGGTAACGTACCGATAACGGGTTTTTTTTTTCCCCCACTCCCCCTCACCACCCCCCGTAAACGTAAAAACGAAGAGGACGAAGACGAACGAAGACGAATAACAATAACAACAATAACAATAATAACAACAATAATAATAATAATAATAATGCCGCCAACGAGGAAGATCATCGGGCCGCCGGAGCGCGCGGACATTGACGACAACTGTTGTTGTCCGTAACGCCGACGGCGGGGACGGGAGACTACGGCGAAAAACGCGAAATGTCACGCACCCACGGCCGAGCAGAGGACCGCGGAAACCGGCGCCGAGGACGACCACGACGACGACGACGACGACGACGACGACGATGGACCGCGGAGACCGCGAGGACATCGGTGGCGCGGGATCGCGGAGCCGTCAGGACGCGGAAGACCCGGCCGGCGACCGTCAACCACGCGCAGCCACGACGGGACAGCGGGATCGGCAGCCGAAAATAAATAAAATACATTTTATTATCAAATTTTTTTTTTTTTTTTTTCTGTGTTTATTCTCCCGCGGACATAACTTCGCAGACCTCGATATAAATACAGGTATTTTTTTAAACATTTTTTCTTTTTCTTTTTTCTCTCGTTATTTTATAGTTATTATTATTTTATTTTATTTTATTTTTTTTTTTTTTGGTTTTCCCTTCCCGTACGAATTGATATTATTAAAATCGACCCCTCCCCCCTGTCTCCCGGCGGTGGTTATGAACGCTGTCGAAACACTTTCGCTCGTCTCCGAGGGTTCCGTTTTCGTGAAAAACGGAAAAACATTAAAAAAAAACGGTAAATTTTCGTTTAAATATTAAAAAAAAATAAAAAATTCGAATTCCTGTAAGTACATTGTATAATACAATACCCCCGTTAACGCGTAGATCCTCTTAGGTGTTCCCCGCCTCTCTCGGCGAAAAAACTAGTCAATACAAAACCGCACTCGTCGATGTGAGCTGCTCCCACACGAGAGAAAAAAAAAACCGATTTCCTACAACAGAAACGGCGGGGACATAAATAGGAACATTCCTCGGGGGGGGGGAGAGGGGTTAAGGGTTTTCGTTTTGATTTTCGATTCCCTTCACGAAAAAAATACAAAAAAAAACACTTGTTTGTTGTTATAGCGCGTTGTATCTCCTCGGTCTATCTGCAGCGGCGGCCGCGGAGTGTACCGCTGCAGCATGCAGTGAAAACCGGTTCGGTATTCGAACGATTCATAATTTTTGTTCAGTATTTTTTTTTTTATTTTTTTTTTTTTTTCCATTTCATTTCGCCGTCTTCTTCTTTTTTTTTTCATCTTCTCCGTTTTATTATTCGTGATTTATGTGACGGATGAAAAAAGGTAATAATAAAATTACTCCGGCGACGAGAGAGAGAGAGAGACAGGGAGACAGAGAAAGAAAAAACGACAAAAAAAGAGAACCCGGGTCCCGACAACACACTACCGCTGCCAGTGTATACGACGACGACGCTTTTTTTCGTAATATTATTATTATTTTTTTTTTACCTTCTTCGTAATATTTTCTACGATAACATAACCCTCTCCAAATGTTTATAATATTATTATCGGTGCGCGCGGTAGTTGCCGCAGCATCCGAATAAATCAAATAACCCGTCTCGCTTTGTCTCTCTGTCTCTCTCGAAAAAACCAATAATAAATTTCAAAAAAAAATAAATAAAACTCTAAGTTACATATACGAAAAATGTATTGTGCGCGCGCACATTGCCGCAAATACGATCGGGTTGAACGAAATGCGTAATATTTTTAATTCTTTTTTTTTTTTACGGCATTATTACTATGTTGCCGACACATTTTTTGGCGCGTCAAAAGTGATTTTTTTGTTGTTTTTATTATATTTTTTTTTCCATCGCGGTTTAAAATAAAAATGGATTTTGTGCCTACATACATAGGCATACACTTACGAGGGAGTGTTTCGGCTTTATAATGATTTTGTAAAATGTATTCGCCGACGAGTCGGGGAGGAGGAGGGAGGGGGGGGTGGGGTTTCTCATATATTTTTACTAATAATTTAAACATCATTATTATTATTATAAATTTTGTTATTTTTAAGTTTTTTTTTTTTTTTTCTCTCGACCGTAAACGCAAACCCAATAATCGTCGATTTCACCGCGATAAATTGTTATTATATTCCTAATAAACTAAACTGATATAAAATTGGAAAAAAAACCTGCTGCCCCCGTTCAGTTATTATTATTATAATTATAATTATCATTATTATTATTTTTATTTTTATTATTATTATTATTATTATTATTATTATTATTATTATTATTAAATGTATACCTAATGTAAATCTATACGATTATTTTATAAAAAAAAAAAAAAAAAAAAAAAAAGTAAATTATATAATAAGGTACGAGATCTTTTTTTGTAAATACATATACGAAAATAGATATGTGTAAATAAATAAAATGTGTAGTTAGATGAATATATATTATTATATATTACTATATAATTCACGGTATATATATATATATATATATATGTGTGTGTGTGTGTGTGTGTGTGTATATATATATATTTATATATATATAAATATTTTATAAAAATATTTTACACTTTTCATTTTATTTATTGGAACGTGTACATTTTTGTTTTTTCGCATATTATATTATGTTTTTAATAAAAAAAAACACCATTATATATATATATATATATATGTGTATCGAGGAATTAAGTCAAAAAAGAAAAAGAAACATTATCTGTTGGATGTTTTTTTTTTTTTTTTTTTTTTTTTTTTTTTAATTTTTTTT